GCAGGAGGGGGAGGAGTACGAGGGCGGAGGGGTGGCGACAGTGACCGGTATTAGCGAAGGGGTTTTTTTGGGTGGGAGAAATTTTGGGTAAACTTCACAAAACCCCCTTTAAGTTTGGCTATTTGCAACATGACCCTCTTACTTTAAAGATGCGACAAAATCCCCTCCAAGTTTGGCCTTAGATAACCCCCCGGAATTTTAAAGGTGTCACTTAGCCCAACCCCCATCCCAAAGTCCGGGGTGTTTCAGAAAATCCTCCAAATATTTTCAATTTTTTCGACTAATCCCTAATAATGTTAATGAACTGGTAAAAGGACTGACCGTCCCTTTCAAGTTGACACTCTGATTATTAAATAAAACTAAACTAAACTGATTAATAATTAAGTTAATTAGGCTCCTATGACTAAATTTAGAGCTTATCTGAGAGCTACTCTAAAATTATTAAAAAGGGTTTGAAATGATTTTCCCGTTAGGGTATTTTGGTAATTTGGATAAGTGTGATTTTCACATAAATATGAACCGGCGGTGCTAGGTAGAAGGATTATCTGAGACAACTTAAGGGAACTAACGTCTCATTTGGTACGTGAGAATGGAATGGAAAAATGAATGGAATAAAATTAATGTGAGTTATAAAACGAAGTGAGAATAGACGTATTTTAAAATTATATATTTTATTGATTCTCATTTAAGTGGGAATGCTCATTCCCTATCATTTCATTGGGAATGCGCTCATTCCTACATAAAGTGTGATGTAGAACACACAGCAGACATGTTTATGTCAAAGTGGGACAGTCGCAAATGCGGGCCTAGTCGAAGAAAATAACTTGTTTCGAAGAAGCAGCCGTAACTTTCAAACCGTACGTCGGAATTGGACGAATTATATATGAAAATCGACTATCTCGACGAGACGGAGCCATCCAAACCTACCCCTTTGGGTTCGGTTTGCGTTCTCAGATTCGACAAATTCCTTACGGTTTGAGAGATAATTACAATTTTGTCCGTTTTTACTATTTTTAGTAATAATTTAGGAGTCTGTTTTGTTTAGGAAACAAAACCGATTTGATCTCAGATTTGACCGGTGGACTTTCCTATTCATAAGGAGTCTTTTTAGGAGCTTTAATGTTTTAGGAATTCTATACCATTTTTGGTAAGTTGAGAGTCCTTGTAGGAATTAGAGTCCTTGTAGGAGTCTTGTTTCTTTTTCTATTTAATAAGAGCCTTGTAAGCCCTAGAGGCATAACTTTTGATTAATAAAATTTCGTTTTTCCTCAATATTTCTTCGTGGATTCGAAGCTCTTCGTGGATTCGAAGATCGTTCTTTGTGGATTCAGAGAACACCCTTGGTGGATTCCGAGGTTACAACTTCCGCGCTGCGTCAATTGGTATCAGAGCCTTGTTCCTCCGATCCGATGGCAGGTGATGAAGCCCCTATCTCTCGAACTGAGTTCGACGTGCTAAAGGCCGATGTCAATCAGATGAAGACTGTCGTGGAGCGAATAGCAGCGGCAGTAGAGCGTCTGGAGATTGCAGGAGATCGAAATCTCGTTGATGGTCGCCAACGACGTGAACCGACTCCGTATGAAGATTCCAACAGCGAGGAAGATCACTATGCACCCTAACGCCGCGGTGTTTATCGCAGAGACCGACGACAAAGGGATAATTATGACGCTGGAGGTTTCAAGATGAAGATGGATCTGCCATCTTTCAACGGGCAACTTCATATTGAAGAGTTTCTCGACTGGATTGCAGAAGTAGAGAGGTTCTTTGAGTATATGGAGATCCCTGAAGAACGTAAGGTTAAATTAGTGGCCTACATACTCAAAGGTGGAGCTTCGGCTTGGTGGGAGTCTGTTTGTCTGAATCGATCTCGTCAAGGAAAGCCGAAGGTCGATAGGTGGGAAAAGATGAAGAAGCTACTGAGAGCCCGTTTCTTACCAAGTGATTATGAACAAGTTTTATTTGGGCAGTATCAGAATTGTAGGCAAGGTGGAAGAACCGTGGATGAGTATACGCAGGAGTTCTATCGACTGTCAACCCGCAACAATTTACACGAGAGCGAGGCGCAACAGATGTCTCGATACATTGGGGGATTAAGGATAGCGATTCAGGATCGTGTATCTTTGCAGCAGACCTATACATTGGCAGACACGGTTAGCCTAGCCGAGAAGGTGGAAGGACAGCTTGGACGAAATAGTAAAGGATCGTGGGCAGCTTCTGACGGTTCGCGCACGAACTTTAATCGTGGTGGGAATAAACAGTCTCAAACTGTTCCTGATCAAGATTCGATGACAGAGAAGGGCAAGGGGCCAGCGACAACCGCAGCGAAGAAGCCTACTCCAGCGAACCCTTATGCCAAACCTGACCCGATCAAGTGTTATAGATGCGGACAGCCTGGTCATCGTTCCAATCAGTGCCCTAAAAGAGGTACTGTGAACATGGTGGATCATGAAGATGAGGATACAGACCGAGACAATGTTGAAGACTATGATGATGGGTTGGATGCTGATGATGGGGAACAACTCTCATGTGTTGTGCGGCGACTATTGTTGGCTCCAAAGGCAGAAGAACCACCACAGAGGCATAATATCTTTCGAACGAGATGTACGGTGCAACAGAAGATCTGCGATGTCATCATTGATAGTGGGAGAAGCGAGAATATTGTATCTCGGCGCATGGTGGAGAAGTTAGGGCTGAAGACGGAAAAGCATCCCACTCCTTACAAGATCGGCTGGATTCGCAAGGGTAATGACGTACAGGTTGATGAAGTGTGTCGGGTATCCTTTTCCATTGGCCGAACTTATGTGGATGAGGCAATGTGCGATGTAGTAGAGATGGATGCATGTCACATGTTGTTAGGCAGACCTTGGCAGTTTGATGTTGATGCCACGCATAGAGGGAAAGATAACGTCTACATCTTTAAGAAGGATGGTCGCCGAATTGTGCTCAAGCCTCTAACCGAGAAGGGACCTGTCAAAACCATTGTGGCTGAAAAGAAGAATTTCTTGGTCGTTGACAATGAAGACTTTATGAAAGATGTGAAGCAATCTGATGAGATTTATGCCCTTGTAGTTTCGGGAAAAGAGGAGTCTACCACTGTCGAAACTCCACATGAAGTACAGACCCTCTTACAACAGTTTGATGCAGTTATGCCTGATGATCTTCCTTCTGAATTACCCATGCTTAGGGACGTTCAACATCAGATCGACCTTATCCCTGGATCCCGACTACCAAATCTGCCACACTATAGGATGAGTCCGAAGGAAGGAGAGATTTTGCAGAAGCAGGTGGATGATCTCATCCAGAAGGGCCTTATACGACCTAGCATGAGTCCGTGTGCAGTGCCAGCACTACTAGTCCCAAAGAAGAACGGAGAGTGGCGTATGTGTGTGGACAGTAGGGCTATCAACAAGATTACGGTGAAGTACAGATTTCCTATTCCACGCTTGGAAGACATGCTAGACATGTTATATGGTTCAAAGGTGTTCTCCAAGATAGACCTCAAGAGCGGCTATCATCAGATTCGGATTAGGGAAGGAGATGAGTGGAAGACTGCTTTCAAGACAAAAGGCTTGGAAGACATGCTAGACATGTTATCTGGTTCAAAGGTGTTCTCCAAGATAGATCTCAAGAGCGGCTATCATCAGATTCGGATTAGGGAAGGAGATGAGTGGAAGACTGCTTTCAAGACAAAAGAAGGCCTGTACGAGTGGTTAGTCATGCCTTTTGGTCTTTCTAATGCCCCTAGCACTTTCATGCGATTGATGAATCAGGTATTAAAACCCTTTATCGGCAAGTTCGTCGTAGTTTACTTTGATGATATCCTGATTTATAGCCAGAGTGGGGCTGCACATCTGGACCACTTGAGGGAGGTACTAACAGTTTTGCAGGAGAATAAGTTGTACATTAATCTGAAGAAGTGCAACTTCATGACCAGTAGCCTCGTGTTTCTAGGCTTTGTTGTTAGTGCAGAGGGTATTCATGTTGATGAAGAGAAGGTTCGTGCTATTAGAGATTGGCCTACCCCGAAGACTGTCAGCGAAGTTCGTAGTTTTCATGGCCTAGCAACATTCTATAGGAGATTTGTAAGAAATTTCAGCAGCATTGTAGCACCTATAACTGAATGCATGAAGAAAGGAAAGTTCAATTGGGGGAAAGAAGCAGATCGTAGCTTTGCACTGATCAAGGAGAAGTTGTCCACCGCACCTGTGCTTGCACTTCCAGATTTTCAAAAAGTCTTTGAAGTTGATTGTGATGCGTCCATCATAGGAATTGGTGGTGTTTTATCTCAGGAAGGGCGTCCAGTTGCCTTTTACAGTGAGAAACTAAGCGAAGCTCGACAGAAGTGGACCACATATGAGCTAGAATTATATGCCATAGTTCAGTCTTTGAAGCATTGGGAGCACTATTTGATCTCGAGAGAGTTTTTGCTTCACACTGATCATCAGGCCTTGAAGACCCTTAATAGTCAGACTACCATCAACCATATATATGCTCGTTAGATTGCATATCTGCAGCGTTTCACCTTTGTTTTAAAGCATAAATCCGGGCAGCAGAATAAGGTTGCAGATGCACTCAGTAGGAGGGCTGGATTGTTGGTAACTTTGAAGGCTGAAGTGATTGCGTTTGAGTATCTTAAATGAAGATGAGGATACAGACCG